TTTATGGACTGAGTTATCTTCCGTTGTGTTGGAAATAGCTAAAACAACAAGTACCAACACCTGAATAAACCATCTGTTTCCATTTAAAGCATAACTGACAATCCAGTGAAAGATTCAATGTATCATTTAACGTAGTTGGTCTTTTTCTGAAAATTATCTCGCAAAATTATCGATTAACCGTCTCGAACAATAAGTGTATGTGCCAGAACACATTATTAACATTATTATGTTGTTACATCTCAAATATATATTAATATCTCAGATTATTCTAAATAGCAAGGGAGTTGCGGCGGCTCAGTGAGTAAGACGTTGGCTCGAGTTTACAAGAAAAAAAAAGACGTTGGCTCTCTAACATGAGGGCCCGTATTCGGTTTCCGTATTGGCTGAACGTTCATCGGGATTTTCCGACGTGGTTGTCAGGGGTTTAGGGCGCGGCTTGGCTAGGGACAACGTAGAGTCGTTCGGATGGGACGAAAAACCTAGGTAATCTATACACATTGGCATGTACATAAAAGAACCCTTGGCTATTGAAATTGGAAATAAAACGTAGGCCGTATCGCCGTAGTCCGGGCAAAACTGATAGCCCACTGCATGGCGTATGTCCGTCTTCATTAGCCAAGACGGGACATAATTCACAACAGTAGAATGGTAAAGCCAGTTCTATATCCACCTTTCTTTTGTCATCAGTGGTGCGGGATAGAGAACAGCAACCGAGTTCCTGTGTAAACGTGAAATGAAATGGGGTTTAACGTCCTACTGTTCTGTTCAGACTGGGCTAATGAAGACGGGCATACACCAAACACTGTGCTATGAGGGAAACTTTGCCCGGACAGCGGCACTAAGGCCGACACTTATATTGAATTCAATCTGCCAAGGGATCTTTTACGTGCACGCCAATCAGTACACGTGACCTCGGTTTTTCGACCCATCCGAACGACTAGACAGCTATCCTCCGTGTAAATGTACAAAGTGCCGTGGACAGTTGGAATTCGGCGCAGAGTAGGCGGAAACCTCGCTCTCCTGGCAAAAGTTACATTTGCCCCTTTACGTTATCACAGTTGGCGCAAAAACATAGGACTGTAAACCCTATTCCATGTCAGCCATACCAACGAGATGAACAAGTGGTGTTGATATTCTAGTGCTCAGATAACATTCTCAGATCATTTTGAAACCTTCTAGTAATAATCATCAAAGATAAATTAATTACATATTATATAGCTCTGGGCGAGAAGCTTAGATGGGTTTAAACAAATATTGATTGAGCAACAGCATCGGCATCACATAAAAATACAGCTATTCAATTTAATTAGCAAATCAAAATGATGTAATAGAAGTAATATCGTGATATGAAGCATCAGCGAATCTCATGTCGAAAGAAATTACAAGTGCTTCTCATCAAATTCGCTTGGTTCTGGAAACCATTAAAATCAAAATGAGATAGTTTTTGTGTGCAGTTTCTGATACAGATGGTGTTACGTCCTTATTACGCAATACCATTTTATGAACATGATCAACTATCCCTCCAGATAATTCAGGTTAAAATTACTCGTATGATATTGGTTGATATTTCTAAATATTATAATGTTTTAACAGTCCCCTATTTCAAGACCGGTTGCATTATTCCTATTACGTCTTTCTTTTTTCGTTTCATTTTTAGTGAAATACTTATGTAGTGGTAGATAATGTAGATACAATATCATGTAGTAATAATGTTTGTATTGGTAGATAATGTAGTGTGAATGTGTATTGATAGATAATAATATAGTAATAATCTGTGTAGTAATCATCTACTCTATCATACTTTACTAGTGATCTGCATCTTTCTGTTTCAACATAATCTATCACTCGGCATGCTATTGTGTCAAATCGTATTAACGTTAAACAATTGATCAATGTTATATTGAACGGCGTATATTATATTGTACATGTTTCAAACATATCGTCATGTTAAAATTTAACGACAGAGATTATATTTTATGTTTCACACATATCGTCATTAACGACGCCGATTGTATTATTAATAATAATAATGTCCTAAAATCCAACCGAAGCTGCTCTTTGGTAACATTATGGTCAATTAAAAGATAAAGAAGTTTCACACAGATACTCATGTTACATTTACCGATTATATTGTACATGTTTCACACAGATCGTCATTTTATATTTAACGACACTGATTATATTGTGTATTATCAAAAATATTACATTTGTATTGTCATTAAATGTTGGCTGTGAAAGAAGATAATATTAAATAATAATCCATATTATCTTTGTAAATAACCATTCAATATGATGGGTATTGTGTGATGTACGAGCCTGGTTACACCTCTTGGTCAAAAAAGGGAAACACGACAGAGCAGCATGTTACCCCCGCCCCCACACACACACACACACACACTTGCCAAAATAAGGAAAGCAGAAAGGAAGAACAGTGTTAGTCTCATTTTACTGAATAAAACTTCAGGATTTTTTATAGGAACCACTGTAGCGAAGTGAGTTAGGTGCTGGAAGTCCAAGGTTCCATTTATGGTTCGATCGAAAAAGTTCCTTAGAATTTCCCAGCGGGATTTCCCTTTGTCAATGGTGCGGGATGCAGTGTTTAGTCGTTCGGGTATGGCGAGAAAATCAAGATCCAACGTATATTTTATTTCATGTCAGTATCTAATAAATGTTACCTGATCTTGTTTGTTTTCTGGTGCCTTGTTGAAATTTACTGATTAAATGTAACTACATGTATATCTGATTAAATAGAACTATATTTCAGTAAACATATTTATGTTTCAGTGTACACAGAACTTTATCTTAGTAAATAGAACGATATCTCAGTGAACAGAACGATATCTCATATGATAGAACGATATCTCAGATGATAGAACTCTATCTCAGTAAACTGAACTCTATCTCAGAAACTCAGTAAATATAACTATATCTCAGTAAACAGAACTATATCTCAGTAAATAGAACTATATCTCAGTAAACAGATCTATATCTCAGTAAATAGAACTCTAGCTCTCAGTTAATATAACCATATTATTTGATTGAATATAACTAGGCTATCTAACTATATAGAATTAAATATAACTGTATCTGATTAAAAATCTCATTAGAAGATCAATAGTAAAATAATTCATCTTTTAAACAATTTCTGTGTATTATACAACTGGGAATCAGATTATCCTGACTTGGTTTCGATATGTAAATTATATTACTATGTTACATAGTCAGTGAAGTGGAATATCATCGATACGTATATGTAAATCACACAGTCAAACATCTAGACATGAAGTGAGCTGGGGTACTTAACGATCTGATTGATGAGAGATCATCTATTAGACAACTGATTATATAATTCATATTGGCAACATGGCGGCATTCATCTAGATTAAATTAACACATCCGATAATACGTGAATTAAAAGGAAAAAGAGTGATAGGAAGTAATTATATTATTGAAATCACTTTTATTATTCATAAAGTCGATCATTTCCTTTTCGATTAACTTCAAATAATTGCTCGTAGCATATTTTGTTCAATGTAGTTATATTGACAGAAAACAACTTGTGTTGTGCAATTGTAGCGATGCTGTTATTAGTCTGGCCAGAAAATCGAATAAAAGATGTAAAAAAAGAAGAGTTTCAACACCGGAAGTTCATTCCGGAGCATAATGTAAGACGTGGACTATAAAGAGTGACATATGACTTAGAACTAATTTGGTGATATGGGTCGTTATTGATTAATATACACGTCCATTAAAGCCAATCCGTCACCGGATATGACTGTTATGATCGAGCATACATCTTCACCCCAATTCTCCTTTCATTAAAATCGTATAAATAAACCATCTTGACTTGAACAAGTTCAACATTAGATTAATGTACAGCCTTCTTTTTATCTTCTGGATTGAATAAAAAGGGATTACTTTCGATTCTTAACACGTCATTTTCTATATTTAATTTCACGTTCCACGAGCTAATCTTCCATTCTGTATACAAGATGTCGTTTTGGGTTAATAGTAAAATTTTCTTTAATTGACAATCATGTCATAAGAGATTGCAAAAACCTACCGAGTTTAAATTACTTCGTTAAAACAAATGAAAAAAGTGTAGAGCTTTATTATAGTATTACTTTAGTTAGATCGCAGAAAAGCATGGCGTCGTTAGGGATATTTTAATTGGCATTTGCTTTTTGTATTTCCCTGATGCTAATTTATAGCATTTAAACATAGAACCACCAAGGACCAATTCATGGCCAGGGTTGATTATCGAAAACAATCATTCCTATACTTCTTCACAAGACAAATTTCAGGATACAATTATTGTTCAAAATATCAAAATAAAATGATATAGGCTTTAACGTCCTACTTTTCTGCACCAACTGAACTAATGAAGACGGTGTGCTATGAGGGAATTTTGTCCGGACACCGGCATTGCGAGATGCTCTGATATCGAATTCCATCTGTAAAGGATTCTTGACAATATGTACGCTGGGCCTCGTTTTTTGTCTCATACGAATTAGTAGACGCTGTCCCCTTCCTGCAGAACATCCTCGGCTAACACCGCTGTACCAACAGAGCCACGCGAAATATCAGCACACGTTAATGTTCATTTTTTTAGTTAAAGTCTCTAATCTTGCAAACTATAATATTGTGAAAGTTAAATTTCTAAAACGAATATAAGTCCAAATATGGTTAAATTCTGTTTAGTATTTACATAGACAGGATGTATTGAATATATGTCAAAAGTCATCATCCCTTGCGAACCATATAAACGAGGTATGATCATAACAAGCCAGCGCCACCCATAATCACTACGAAAATAGTTTGATGGACCTATTTTGAATCCGATTGAATCCAAGTCAGTAGATTATTTACCCTTGATATTTGACATTTTACTGACCTAGCCACGAATTCGGACCTCAATCCCACCCGCTACCCTAACGTCCGCGACACTGGGATATTTTTTGTTGTAAAGTAGTTATATGTAAGCGTGTTTTAATTTTCAGGGGTCAAGATACAGTAGAAAGATTCAGAAATGTAACCGATACAATTGACGGATTATTAGAAGGATATGACATAAGACTGAGGCCAAGTTTTGGAGGTAAGATAAAGCTTTTTAAATACGTGTCCATTGCCCGGAGTCTGGTAAAACGATAAACGTTGGTCCACGCTTCAAACATATGGTCCGATAAAACAATAAACACTGGTCCATGTATCACAGACAGTGTCCGATAAAACGATAAACACGGATCAGATAAAACAGTAAATACTAGTCCTCGTTACAGATGGGGTCCGATAAAACAATAAACACTGGTCCATGTTTCACACAAAAAGTCTTCAGACAAAAAACAATAAACACTGGCCATAGTGTTTCACACAGAGAGTCAGATAAAACAATAAACAATGGTCAACGTTTCACAGATTGAGCTCGATAAAACTATAATTCACACATTAATTCCCCTTAATAACCTTGCCATTGCGCCATTTTCCAATTTAAATCAGATGGAGTATTTGGGTCGTAAAATTATTAAAATCGATAATTGATTTCATAACGGCAGTCAGATGGCGATAATATTAGGAACTGGTCAAGATGTGCCCAAAGAGGACGTGCAACGTAAACAGAGAAAAAAACAAATAACGAAAATGTTCAGATAATGTGCATAGGTTTCTATAACTAACTGTTACTATGCTCGATTTGCTGATTTTAAACCTTTCATAATTTCTAAAAATAAAACTAACCCAAAAAAACATATAGTACCCCGTGTCTGTAATTTGTCGAGATGAGACAAATAAAGAATATAGAAAGCTAGAATCTACTTGTATTTCAAATGCTGGGTAAATTGCTCGTCATTTCTTTATTAACCAAGTCGTGGCTAGCAGACAGTAAATTATTACAGAAACCTAATATTGTTGATAGGCAAGCTTCATTTGTCTGATCGAGTTAGAGACATGTTATGGGAGAGATGGTCTGGGGGTCAGGCAGGGTTAATGATCCTCCGTAGTTCGGTGCCGTTAAGAGTTTAAAACCCAGGAAGGGACGGAGAGTCTGGTAGATGGTCTGACCTGATAGACGTCTATCAAACAGTTGCTGCGTCCCCTGCTGCTTAGTGAATCGAGACGTAGAATGGCTAAACTGATTTCATTATAAATATTTGTAAACCATAGTGGGACGTTTAGGTTATTTAACCTGATGTGCTCTTCGTTTTATTTAATGTAGATTTGTCAGTCACAATTTTAATAATAGTCAATTTCAATATGAGGGCCACACTGTGGCGATTGGTCACTAGCCAGGAACTCCATGGTTCAATCCTGGTGCTGGCCGGGAAGGATCCTCGGGATCATCAAGTCTGAGTTTCCGTTCTCAGTGATTAGCCTGGAACGGAAAAGCTTCTAGTCATTCCGGTGGGACAACAAAAATCCGAGAACTAGACCGTATAATCGTTGGAGTGCACGTAAAAGGACCTTTATCAGTTGTAATTCGATGATTGGCTTCGGATCGGAAATGCTACAGCCATTTGTTATGACACTGTTTGTTGTTCAACGTCCTTTCAGATCCATATGACCAGTTTCATTATTAATAATATTTTGGCAAAATACAACACGAAATAGGACATTAACATCCCAAAATGACTGTTGTCACACCATTGACGCAAAATGTACATAACCTTACAAAATGCCCATAATCATATATATATCTTATAAATCACAGTAATCGTCATGTATGGGTTCCTTGTTTATTATAAAAGCAAACACAACGAAACCCTATCATCAGTAGTCCGCTGATTCAACACAAGGCGACATTTGATTATTTAGAGCACGTCACTCAAGTACGCAGTTGAAATGTCAACATAAGACACAGCGGGGATCATATGACAAACCTACATTAGGTGCAGTTGTAAGCCTTTTGCTACGTCACATAGCTGGATTCGTGGATCTACTTATAATGGCAATCCGACTATACATAAGCCAAATATGATCATTTTTCACGTCACTCAAGTACGCAGTTGAATTGTTCACCGCTGGGGGTCGAATGACAAACCTACATTAGACGCAGTTGTAAGCCTTTGCCTACGTCACATAGCTGGATTCGTGGATCTACTTATAATGGCAATCCGACTACGTAAGCCAAATATGATCTTATATGAGTCTTTTATTATACCGATTGTGTAATATGCAGATTACCAGTACTATAGCAAGTCTAACAGTTTAAGATATGATCAATAATTTTGGTTACATTTCAAAATAATTTTAGTACACATTTTTTTAATGCTGCAAAAGAAATAAAAGTTGTTTGAGGGGCTATATTTACACAATTGTATAATTTGTATTTATCTCATATCTAAACTTGAGATTTTTAATATTAAATTTGGATGTAACATTAAAGAGAAATTATTTTGAGATGCAACAAAACTTCCTTGACATCTAATTCTTGACCAGAAGTACTTGCAATGTTCCAGAGCAATAATGTTACACGAACAAAACTTCAACATTTTACGCCTCTGTGCTCGTTTTATCATCTCATGATAACGTCACTAAGACGTACCCCACCACTGTGGACACTAAAACTCTATGATTCGTCCAATCGGAACGACTGGAGTAAACGCTATGCTTTGTCACCCCCCTCCCCACCCCAACCCCAACCCCTCGGCCTGCACCACTGACAAAAGGAAACGGTGTGACAACTCCCACGGTAGTTTCTCACCAATACCAGAACCTCTCACTTAGTGAGCAGGCATCTTACTGAACGAGTCACCGCGGAACCCCACACCATAGGTATTCAGATTTCTAATTAATGTCCTGTTAAATGATTATAAAGTCCAATCCATATTTATGTATAATCAGTTTATCGCCGATCGTCCGTGATCAGACTGAATAATAGTACATGGCTACCACTGAGATTTTGCTTAACAAGCCAATTACATTATTAGAGTTGATCCAGTCCTAGGAGACTCGTCTACGATTTAACCAATTAAAGCATGGTATTCGGGTTTTAACAATAAACCCAATTTTAAGTGGAAGTGGAATTTCTACATGAATAATGGTAATGTTTGAACCAATTAGCAAATAGAAGATGTGATTGTTCTGATGTTCCCCGGGCATTAAATTAGATTGAATAGTAATTTTAATTTGTGTGTTTTGTATGCCAAAAAAATGTTCGTCAGATACATCGCCGTTGAGGGATAAATATTGTGTTGTACACATGGTTCTACAAGCGTGGGAAAATGGATAGGCAGATAACCCTAATACTTTACACTTTATAGCCTGGTATTGAAACCACGACTCATGACACAATGACACTTCTTAGAACATTAGGGGTTTGGGTGGCGAATGGACTTGCACATTAGATCATTAAGTCTGTCATTGAGTCAAGTGGCGTGGTTTCGATACGCCGCTTGTATCTGACAAGGAATAGGGTCTCTTATCCAAGCTTGTGGTTATCTCCGGTTCCTCCAGTGTCCACCATACGTGGAAGCGAATTATTGTAATAAAATTGAACCTCATGTTTGTCCCGAAATGATGTAGTTTGTGCCGAGTGGATGCTAAACCAAATTTCTTTCTATCCACTACACTAGTCCTTTGCTTTGACTGTTCTAAGAAAACAGAGCAATAATTGGGATCTATATTTAGGACGACGAGGTAGAAGACGATATCCGGCCCATCACTACGGTTACCAACCCAGCCCAATAATTTAAACACCAGAGAACAATACTTTTCCCTTTTTTGATATCTATTAAAACCTAGCCTTATCACAATCTGCTGTTGGTGAATTGTAGGATTCTAACCTAATTTATAACCCTTTACACTTGGAATTCGGAATAAAAATAGGCCGTAGCGCCGCTATCTAGACAAAATGTCCCTCATAGCACACTGTATGGCGTATTTCATTAGAACAATCGGTGCAAAACGGTAAAAGTCGATCACTAAACCAACCCCATGCATTTTATTTCATATACTGTTTTCTCTGCAACACCCGTTTAGCTTTATAGTATAGTATAAAGTTGAATTTGAAACGAAGCTACGGTGACTCAGTGAGTGAGGATGTCCGACAAAGTTCCTCGGGATTTGCCGGTGTGGTACAGAGCGGATGGGACGAAAATATGAGGTCACGTTTACACGTTGACAGTTGGAATTTAATTGCTGTCCGAACAAAATACTCCCGATTGTACACTGCATGACATATGCCCGTATTCATTAACCCCATTTCATTTGAATTTGAAACATCACGGACGGCATCAACAGCCCTTATTTCCCAGATATCTCTGAATTCTGTCATTATAGGTCAAGTACAAATTCAAATCGAGGTCCAAACCGTGTAAATTTGAGAGTGAATATATTAGAACGGATGATTAGCAGTTAGTAATTAGTTTATGCAAATGAGGAAGAATCGAATTGACGTGCGTCGTATAATCCTAGTATCTGGTTTTCATTAGAGTAATGAATCCGGAAAACAAAAAAGGAAGCAATTTTAGAATCTAGCCACCAAATTATCTAATTACTAACCTTGACACTTGTTTACTACGGTGTGTAATAGAACATTTTATATAATAAAGCTTATATCAGTAACAGCAAGAGCAATGTGGGGATCATTTCAGCCATAGACACAAGGCATATTAGGACAATGGTTATTAAAACAAATGAATCCTTACATCAGCTTTGTTCATAAAAGACCACGCTACTTTCTACAAATTACACGACGCCATTAGATAACTCAATCCATTTACAGCAAGCGCTTTGTGGCATCAGACCACGGTTCACTTCATACACGTTTGTGATCAAAGCGTTCCACATGCTGCCCCAACTGTGGTAGAAAGCATTAAAGCCACCTAAACGTAAAAAGGGGGGGGGGGTCGGTAGGCAAATCAATTTGCCATAGGTTTTTGATTTTATCGTCCGTGTTACTACTTAAAACAACACTTTCAACCCTTATGAATATTCAAATTTAATAAGAGAAGGAATTAATTGTCTCCATGTGAATTACGTCTTTTAACATCTGATGACACGAAATGTTATTTTTTTTTATCCAATCTGATTTTACCCACAAAATCTAGTTTCGTATTTCGTTTTTGTTCATCTGCAAGATTCCATTTTTTTATATTCCAC